AACTATACTCTGTTTTTAAACCAGGAGGAGTAAACGCGAAAGTCAGATTTACACTAGGAAAAATCACCAGAAAATATCACTAGATATTTTGGCGGTAAATTTAAATTAATAATTATTATTTATGTATTTACTTATTATTGTATTTATTTTCGTTTGTTATCGTCAACACTATACATACAAATTAACATTGAAGTTATGAGTGTATTTATTTCAAAATATAATAAAAAAGGGTTTAAGAACACAAAATATACAATAATGACACGAAAGTGTCGAATTATCAATTACCTAACCTTCAAATTCAAAATCAAAATTGCCTGTGTGTGAACCTTCCTCGCATTCAACCAATCACGTGCAAGGTCAATCTGAAATTCAAAATCAAAATTCAAAATTGCCTGTGTGTGAACCTTCCTCGCATTCAACCAATCACGTGCAAGGTCAATCTGGTGACAAATTTAAAATACTCCTCCTGGTTGAAAAACAGTATAATAATAATTATTTGAAACGTTAAAATTTCAAAAAACCTCAATTTAATTCAATTTTTTAGGAGTTTCTAAAGATTTGACATTGAGATAAACAAATTCCTTTTTTCATATGATTTAAGCATAATTTAATTAATTTTCGTAAAAAAACATGACGTTTCATAAAATTGACATTTAATTTTGACAAATTGTTGTGAAGTTGGTTACAGTTGGCAACATTGAATTTGTGTCACATTGACGTTTAAACTTTATTCAAAAATTTATTTAAAAACATAATTTATGGCATCAATTTCAATAGTAGTTGTGGGCAAAGTATAGTATTCCACTCAAATATAATGAGCTATTATTTACTCAGGTTAATTATGCTTAACCTTAACTCGTATAATAATATACTATTTTATATTCCTTTTTTTATGTCAAATAATAATGGCAAGTTATTCGACTATTCGCCATAGGGAATTGCGATTAATTAGTATTCGATACAACAACTATTCATGGCATTTCTAGCAACAATAAGTATTTGTCATGTTATACTACGAAAAAGACACGTTAATGAGGGAAAGTTTGTAAAAAAAAAACTGTATTTTTTATAGAATTATGAGAACCGATGTCAATTCAAACGAAATAATGTATAGGCTGAGTACTTCATAATTATATGTATCTAAATTGACTTCATAACCTTATGCAACAGACAAAAAATCTTTTTTTGTTCCCCTGTGAATTATTATTTGATAAATTTACCAATATTTCCTGCCCCTAATAAATTATGATCAAATAATCCTTCCGCCAAACGAAAACGTTCTGAGCCAAAATCTTGATGGTACCCCGATGGGAATTCATGATGAACAGCAGGTATACTACCGACAATTCTTTCGTCATAAGGAGATTCAGAAACCTATTTAAAAAAAAAATTAGTTATCTTTTTAATCATTAAAATCATTATCTAACCTGTAAAATACTTTGTTGAAAATCTTGTACAGTTCTTTTAACCATATAAACCATCCAACTATTTGTTGGGGTAAATTGTAAAGCTTTTTTCGTAAATTTAGGTTTTTCTTTATCTCGAACAACTTCTTTATTTGCAATTAACGGAGCGGGGGTTAAATCAATATTTTGGGACTCAAGGTTTTCCTTGGCACGTAAAATTAAATAATCTCCACCCAACGGTGATTTAACAACAGCATTATTAATAACATAACCGTCCAAAACGGGAACGGCGGTTGTGTGAGTTGCCCCGCTATCGATAACTAAAGCCGTCGATCTTCCATTTGCGAAAGCAGCTAACGCCGCGTTTTTAACCAAAAAGAACGCCGGAACTTTGTACTTTTCAAACATTATCTCAGTCAATTTTTCACGTTTTAAACGATTATTCCATGGGGATTCGGAAAATAAAACCGGGTGGTACTCAGAACCTGATTGGATGATTTTTTCATAAGAATAATCAATTACTTTTTCGAAGAAATCCCAATTCTCAATCATCCCTTCTTTCATGTAACTATGTAATTCCATGCTGGGGCGAGGAGTATGTAAAAACGTTGTATCGATATAAAACTTCCATGCTGCAATAATAATTGTAAGATTTATTAGGTATAAAAAAAGGATAATATTTACACGATGGTGTTTGACTGATATTGGTAGGATCTTGTTTCGCTTCTGGTTCGAGTTTAGCAACTGGGGCCACACCAACGACGGCGGGAATTTCCGCTTTTGGCGTATCTTCTTGAGCGTACCCAACTCGCAAAGAATGATGACCTGGGTCAAAAACTAACGCCCCTATTTCATCTCCGCCGTATAACATACCCGATTGAGCGGCAGCAGCGGCCGCAGCAGCCATTCTTTATGATTATTAATGCAGAAAATGTGTTATTTGAGAAATAAACCCGGCTTAAAAATGCACCAAACCAAAAGTAGGGTTAAGTTTGGGATTTTAAGTGGCGCCATCTTTATCATTGATTTTATAAATTGTTATTAAATTTATTTTAAATAATTTATTTATTTATTTGGTGAGTTTTGTAAATAAAAATGTGTTTTGGATCGTTTAAATTTATTTTTAATTATGTTTGAAAAAAAAAGTGTTATTTAAGAAATAAACCCGGCTTAAAAAAGCACCATACCAAAAGTAGGGTTAAGTTTGGGATTTTAAGTGGCGCCATCTTTATGATAGATTTTATAAATTGTTATTAAATTTATTTTAATTAATTTCTTTATTTATTTGGTGATTTTTGTAAATAGAAACGTGTTTTGGATCGTTTAAATGTATTTTTAGTTATGTTTGAAAAAAAATTAAGAAAATGGGATATGTTCATCTTTGTTTTGTTGGGAATTTTTAGTGACTTTTCATGTTTGTGAGATCATTGAACGCGTCAACCGGCGCCATATTAGCATTGTTTGTGTTTACGGTTTAATTCACCGCATTTCAACAAGAATTTTCCTTTTTATTTTTCATGTAAGAGGCTAAAGTTTATTCAAAAATAACCGTTTATTAATCACGTAAGTAAATGAGGTTTTTCTATATAGTTTTTGTAAAAAAAGAAATTGTATACAAAAATTACTTCTGTGTAAGTATTTAGATTAAGTTTAGTCCCTTCTCTAAGCGTTACGCTTGAATAGTTCTTTGGGCGTAGTTCAGTCATTTAATTTTAGCTGTAGTAAATCTGAGCTGTTCTTATATTTTTGTTGTATTTTAATTTTTATAGAATGAGTCAAAAGACTGGAAAACGTTCAAGAAAAACTACAGATTCCCCTGTTGTGGTAATTGAGAACAAAAAAGAGACTGAAGATAAAGCAGAGATTAAGACAAAAAATGATTTGACCAAAAAAGACTCAAATATAAGTACAAAAACGATTAATAACGTAGAAGAGACCAAAGAAATTAAAGATAAACCACAAAAAGATAATATACAAAAACCAAAAGAAAAAGAATCTGAGAAAAAAGACACATCTCAAACCAGCGAAACAAGTATTAATATTATTGAAAATGAAAGCTCAACAAAAAGTGATGAAATTTCGAAGAAATCTTTTGAACAAGAGTCTCTTGATGGAGAAATTTTAGAACCTCTTATTCTTGAAGAAGCAAACGGAGTACAAATTTTGAGTCAATCTGAGGAAATAATACAAAATGGTGAAGGAGATGAAAAGAAAAAAGATGACCAAAAAAAGAAAGAAGATACTAAAGAAGTTAATAAAGAAGAAAAAAAAATTAACGGTGAAGAATCTCACGAAAGTTTAAAAAACGATGATAAAATCATTGAAACTTCAGCCGTTGACGGCAAAAAATCCTATAATTTAGAAGAAATTGATTTAAATAATAAAAATGAAACGACTTTGGAAACATTTAATGATTTAAGTACTCAAGCTGTTGTTGGAAGTGATGTAACTCGATTCACGGAAGATTTTGAGTACAGTAAATTTTTGTCAGCCTCGAAAGATCATTCGTTAACAGAATCTTTACGTCATTTATCAGCCAGACGATCAATAAGACGAAGTTATTATCCGGGAGTTGTAAATTTCGAGCAAGCGGACGCAAGTCGTAAACGAAAATATTTTGGTGGTGACTCATTGGAGGAGTCTAAGCGAGCTAAAAAAGATTCAAATTCATCAGGAATTATGTCTTATTTTGCTTATCCGTTTGCCAAAAAACCCGAGGCTTCAAGTACGCCTAAATTAACGGGTTATAAAAATAATGTTTTCGATAATAACGATGTTAATAAGATTGGTAATTTAAATACAAGCAATGAAAAAACACCGAGTAATAAGTGGTGTTCTGTTATGTAAGAATTTGTTGTTAAAAACATTTTTAAAAAAGGAACACGTTAATTTCATAGGATCTTTTTTATTGTTTTGACAAGTTTATTATTAATTACCTATTCATGCTCTTTATATTTATACTCTATAACTTTGTCCTCATTTTTTTTGAAGAGTATTAATTAAGTTAGTTTTAAAAACGATTCTTTTATTTCTTTTTCTAGGTTTACCTTGTATATTGTAACCTGTAGATAAATATTTTTATAAACAAATTGAACGTATTGAGATCAAAAAAGAAATTGTTGTAAAGTATTATTCTTGATTTATAGAAACCATTATGTAGTAATCACTTTTTCAATAAAATTAAAACAAAATTAAACATTAATTCTTTTTTAAGTGAGTTAGAAATGTATTCTTGATAGATTATATAAATTATACAGTGCTTCCCAAAAGTAACGGATAAATTCGTTAAAACAATCAAAAACGGTTTATAGAAAAATCGCTGAGAGGGGTCTAAGGATTTAAATTTTTTTGTATATATTTTAAAGTTTTTTCGCCAAAAAAAACTACAAACAAAGTTATGACATCATCGCTATTTTTTCAAATAGCAATCCCCCATTTTTATTATGGAATATGAAAGAGGATATTATTTTGATTTTGGTACAATCAAAATTAATATTAGTTACTTAAGAAAATTTTCGAGAAAAATTACCTTAAAGATTCATGATCTTCCATTCATTTGAGGTAAAAAAAATAGCAGTAGTAATGCGTAACCATGGCAACCAGTTTTTTAGATATTTTATTAAGACAGTGATTAATTTTTGATATTTGAAACAGTTGTTTGGCATGGTACTGCTATTTTTCCATCTCAAATGAATGGAAAATCATGAAACTTTAAGATAACTTTTCTCGAAATTTTTCTTATGTAACCAATATTAATATTGACTGTACTAGATTCAGAACGAAGTCCTCTTTCATATTCCGTAATCCATACCAAACAATTGCACATAATTTAAATCTTTAGACCCGTCTCAGCGAAGAGATTTAGCCCATTTAGCCGCACGTCTCCCACGACGGCTAAACCCGAATGTTTCTAGTACTAGGTCTCGTGTTAGTTCTAGTGACAGTGCTAGTGTAAAACTAGAACTTACTAAAGGTGCCTTTAGTGCGAAGGAGATTTGGATATGTGGGTATTGGGAGATTTGAAGGAGGGAGAGTGACACTGTCACGAAACCTATTTACTGCGCAGGGTATTTGGTGATACAGCGATCCGGTCATCACGTGACTTAAACTATAAACTAACAATTATTTGTAACATAGTATGGGATAGGAAAGGTTTCAGATTTTTTTGGGACAATTTCACCTCCAAAACATAAACTTCAACCAACTTTCGGGTATTTGGAGAAACGGAGATTTATCCCCAACGTACTGACGTCACGTGATCGTCATCAGACGAATCTCCGTTTCACCAAAGCTCCCTCGCACTAAAGGCACCTTAGGTTACCTTAGGTGTTTTTTATAGAACTTTAAGTTGGCAACACTTTTTTAACTGGCGGCCTTTATTATAATTAAATTCGTAACTACAGTTTAATTAAAATCCTCTCTGGTTTTAAAACTCCCCAAAAACACAGAAAGGTATCACTCAACAGAAGAATAGTTTCAGTAAATAGTCTTCAGCCAGTAGTATGTATTGTAATCTCCAAACACTTAGCAGTGTTTTGGCAGCAATATATAGTCTTCTGAAAGCAGTAAATAGTGTTTTCCAACAATATCTAGCTTTCTCCAAGCAATTACTAGTCTTTCCAACAATATTTAGCATTCTGAAAGTAGTTAATAGCCTTTTGAAAACAGTATCTTCTCTTTCCAAGCAAATAATAGTTTCTCCCAACAGTATTTAGTCTTCTCCAAGCAGGTTGTAATCTTTTCTACTAGTATATAGTGCTCTGAAAACAGTAAGTAGTCTTATGGAAGCAGTATCTCGTCTTTCCAATCAGTTTGTAGTTGTTTGTTAGCACTATCTAGTCTCCTCCGAGCAGATTGTAATCTTTTCCACCAGTATCTAACATTTTGGAAGCAGTAGGTACTTTTTTTGGACACCATATATCTTCTTTCCAAGTAGTTATTAGTCTTTTCTAGCAATATATAACATTCTGGAAGAAGCGGTAGCTTCGAAGCGAAGTAGGTAGCTTTTTGAAAAGCATATCTCTTTTTCAAACAATTATTAAAGTCTTTGAAACCAAAAAGAGGTTGGAAGCAGTATTCCGCCTATTCAAGTAGGTTAACAGCAGTGTTATTAATAGGTATTATTTTGAAAACAGTATCTAGTCTTTTTCAAGTAAGTTGTGATCTTTCTGTAGTATCTAGCATTTTAGAAGCAGTAGGTAACTTTTTGAAATAGTATATCCTCTTTCCAAGCAGTTTTTAGTCTTTTACTAGCAGTATTTAATCTTCTGATAGCAAATTAGTCTGCATAAATAGAATAAACGTGTTAAAAGTTCCGAATTAAAAAATAGAAAAGTGCCATCTATTGACAATGGTGTTAAATTTATTTGGTTGTTAAAAAAGATCTATCTTAATTAATTAATATTAAATTAATTATTTATAAAATATTATTTATAAACATGAAATTAACCGTTTTAAACAAATAATGTAAAATGAAAACATTTTTATTCTTTTTAATATTAGATATGTCAAATTTAAAATCTTCATGTGTAGATGTCGCTTGAAACTTGAAATTGACAGTTCTAAAAGTGGGTGTAATCAATATGACATTTTTGGTTTTATGGTAGAAACGTAATATTTGTTGATTTTCCGGTGATAACTACGAAATGTATCGATAATTGTTGAATAAAGGTTCAGATTTGTTGTTGCGCGCCAAAACTGAACGGGTAATTATCTTCCATCTTATTAATTTCATTCAATTAAGCCGACCTATATTTATGACGTGTTAAAGTTATCTTATTATAAAGGTTATATTAACTAAATATATTTTCTTATTAGATAATCAGTCAATATGATTGGCGGGTTATTCGTTTACAACCATAAAGGCGAAGTCCTAATTTCAAGGGTATACAGAGATGATATTGGGAGAAATGCAGTTGATGCATTTCGAGTAAACGTTATTCACGCTCGTCAACAAGTCCGTTCACCAGTTACGAATATTGCAAGAACATCCTTTTTTCATATAAAGGTATAAACAGAAAATCATAATTTGTTGGTGTTAACAGTGCATTTTTAGAGAGCAAATATATGGATAGCCGCCGTAACTAAACAAAATGTAAATGCTGCAATGGTGTTTGAATTTTTATTAAAAATAATTGATGTTATGCAATCTTATTTTGGTAAAATATCCGAAGAAAACATTAAAAACAACTTTGTTTTAATCTATGAGTTATTAGATGAAATCTTAGATTTTGGGTACCCCCAAAATTCTGATACCGGCGTTTTAAAAACGTTCATAACACAACAAGGTATTAAATCTGCCACAAAAGAAGAACAAGCTCAGATAACTTCCCAAGTAACGGGACAAATCGGATGGCGTCGCGAAGGAATAAAATATCGCCGAAACGAACTCTTTTTGGACGTCCTCGAATATGTTAACCTATTAATGTCGCCCCAAGGACAAGTTTTATCAGCGCACGTAGCCGGAAAAGTTGTAATGAAATCATACTTAAGCGGAATGCCTGAATGTAAATTCGGAATCAACGATAAAATCGTTATGGAAGCAAAGGGTAAAAGTGGACTATCCGGAGCTTCAGAATCAGAAGCCGCTCGATCAGGAAAACCCGTAGTTGTAATAGACGATTGCCAATTTCACCAATGCGTAAAATTATCGAAATTTGAAACGGAACATTCCATTAGTTTTATTCCACCGGACGGTGAATTTGAATTGATGCGCTACCGAACGACAAAAGACATCTCGTTACCGTTTCGAGTAATTCCTCTAGTTCGAGAAGTAGGTAGGACAAAAATGGAGGTTAAAGTTGTTTTGAAAAGTAATTTCAAGCCATCACTTTTGGGGCAAAAAATCGAAGTTAAAATTCCCACCCCTTTAAACACTTCCGGCGTTCAATTAATCTGTTTAAAAGGGAAAGCTAAGTATAAAGCGTCGGAAAATGCGATTGTTTGGAAAATTAAACGATTAGCCGGAATGAAAGAAACACAATTATCGGCGGAAATCGAATTATTAGAAACGGATACAAAAAAGAAATGGACCAGGCCACCAATTTCGATGAACTTTGAGGTTCCATTCGCGCCCTCAGGATTTAAAGTTAGATATTTGAAAGTTTTCGAACCAAAATTGAATTATTCCGATCACGATGTTATTAAATGGGTTAGGTATATTGGAAGGAGTGGATTATATGAGACGCGTTGCTAAAAGTAATGAAGGAAAATAATGAATCTTGTAATCGATTATAGATAATGTTATAGATACATGATATATAAGATTATGTTTTTGAGGTTATCTAATTCTTGTTTTTTTTTTCTAATTTTTTCTTTTAATGTATAAGAAAATTATGCTTGATGATAAATGTAATAAATGTAATTGCTTTTTATGTTTAAACTTAAAATAATAAATGGATTAAAAAATTATTCAATTAGATAAGAAATAATGTTAATAAATGTATGGTACTCTTTTAGTTAAAAAAATAAAATGTGTGTAAAGAGGAAATTTTTATGATTTTGTTCTATCTAACGCAGAATATCAATTAAAATTAGAACTAAAGACATTCTGATTTGGCTGTGCATTTTTAAGACAGCTAAACCCAAATGATTCTAGTTCTTGTGTTAGTTCTAAAAAATTATACAACAATCTAGCGCTGAATAACAATTAAAACTAGAACTAACACGACGAAAAAACCTTTCAGGTGTTAATGTTAACTTTAATTTTATTATTATATTCGTAATCTTTATAAAATTACCTTTAAAATGAGTCCAAACATGACGCACTTATCTCAAAAAAGTTAGAATAAAAAACATTAAACCCGAAGTTAGCAACAATGAAGATAGCAATTTAATTTTTAAATATTAATGCCAACCTTAATTTTTGATTTTTTTTATTATATTTTTGTGACACATTTTAAGACATTTTATAAAAATTAAGAATATATCAAAATGACGTTGACATTTCAAACCTTATATCTCGAGTAAATTGGAATTAAACGTATCATGTTTGGGCTGATTTTAAAGGATTTTTTCACGACGATTACAAATATGTCAAAATTGACGTTGACATTTCTAACCGGAAGTTGACCATAACTTCATTAATATTCAAGATAAATATGTCGTGTTTGTATTCATTTTAAAGGGTTTTTAATGAAGATTACAAATATGTCAAAATTGAGGTTGATATTTTAAATCTGAAGTTAGTTGTCATATAATAGACAAATGGACAACTTCATGATGTTATTTCATGATGTTTTCTTTATTAAAAAACCTTTAAAATGAGTCTAAACATGATGTATTTTTCTCAAAAAACAAGAAAGAGAATAAGAAATATTAATCTTGAATCTTTTTAGTTCTAGATCTAGTGTTAGTTCTAGTTTTACACTAGCACTATCACTAGAACTAACACATGACCTAGAAGGAGAAACATTCGGCTTTAGCCGCAATTTAGACGGCCGGCAACAGCTCAAATTTTCCTAATGTAACGTTTGCTTAAATCTGAAAAACTGACCAATAGCAACCGTTCTTTTTGGCGCTTCAATTTGAAAACACTCCTCCGAATTAAAAAAATAGAGTATTATAGTTTTATTACAATTTTATTATTTTATTAAACAAAAACATTACAACTTTTAATAAATAAATCTAAACATAAAACAGGTTAATATCACAATTCAACTTTAATTTTTTGAATTCTCTGAACAATAGCATTGGATAAATCATACAAAGTACCAAAATAATCAGGATCGCCATCAACACTCTCATTTTGACTCAATTTCCGATACAAATTCCTCAAACTAAGCACAATATCTTTAGATTTATCAGTTAATTTCGATGAACAATCATCAACCATCAAATATAACGCCCCAAGACATCTCTCGATGATATCGTGATCGTTAGCTTCAATCACTACACTGTTTACAATCATTTTATTTAAATGATCACAATAATTATGAACTATTAATCGTTTTCTTAACTGGATATCCTCGTATTGTTTGATTTTTTCAACTTGTTTGGTGTCTTTTTTTGAATCAATTTCTTCTTGTAATAAATCGTTGATTAAAGTTAACATTTTTTGTTGAATTTTGAGATTATCTGACTCGAAAAGTTTTGAGAAGACACTTAAACCGGCATTTTCAACAAATTTTAATTGGGCGTAAGGAAAATCTCTTAATAAACCGCTTAGCGCAAATAAAGCTCGATATTTTACACTCATATCCGTATCTAAAGCTAAAATGCGTAATAAAATGTCAACACTACCAGTCTCTAAAGCATGTATTTTAACGTTAACGTTATTTTGCATTGACGATCCTAACAATTTTAAAGTTTCCCTTTTAATTTCGCTGTTGGTTGCATTCAAATTTTGATAAACAATCGTTTTAAATCCATCCATTTTCACAAAATCGTTTGCGTTGTCGTATTGATGAACCAAAAACTCAAGATCTTCCAATATCGTTAATATCTCCTCTTCATCGCGATCCTTTTGTTTGGATATATCGACATGTTTCTCAATTAGTTCGCGTAAAATTTCCGCATCCGTTTTTGGGTTCAAATTTAATTCGTTAAAATCTTTTTTGAGTTCTTCGTAATTTTTGTAGGAAGTTTTACGATTTTCAGATTCGGAGGAGGTTTTTTCTGGGAAATTATTTGATTCATCCTCGATCATTTTTAATGCGTTTTTTGGTTTCTCGTTGCTGATTAACTTTGCTTCCGTTACACCCGTTTCTAAGTTCATACGAACGTGAAGACCTTCTGGAATTTTTTGACCTATAAATGAATAATTGTAAGGAACAACGTAACCTATAATTAATTTACTGGGTAAATAACATTAAATGTTTATAACTTATTGAGTAAATAATGACAAAATACGTATTCAAACACCCTCCGAAATATTAGAAAATCACGAATTACTCTAGAATGATAGTAGAAATTTGAAATATTTTTGATGATTTTTCACTGAGAAGAGTAACCGAACGTTAAAGGACATTTTTATCACAGTTGACAGCAAAAGCCTTATTCGAACAGTACAAACTTTAATTACTAAGAAAATTATACATTTGGAATAACACTTATACTTTGCTGGATGTCTGTTTGCGTAACAACAGCACTTAGACATCTCGGCGATTTCGCGAGGTGTCTAAGTCTCGATTCCGCTAGTTTAGTGGTTAATTGAGGTGGTATTTATTTACAGAATGGACTATTCTTCAACGCTATTTTTAAATCGATTACGTTTCTAATATCGTAATATTTCAATTTCGTCTTGAATATTGACCATAGGGTTAAGATCCGAGCTTCGTGATGCCGTTTTGAGGTGCTCTGAATAGTCTCTGAACACGATCCAAAGTCTAGAATCTAGCGCGGTATGCTTCGAATCATTATTCTGTTGAAAGATAAAATCTTGTAAACATCTATACACTCCTTCACAGTGAATATATCGCATATCTAGGAAACTTATGTTACCATTTTTTCACTAATAACTATATATAATAACTATAATAAAATTATTTGTCTCGAAGAATAAATCCCCAAGTTTATGTGTATAGATTGAGAATCACCTGTATGTATATATATATATATAGGAATTTAGAAGAACGAAATTTGACAGTTAACTGTTGCTAATAAAATGACACATTTTGACGGTTTTTATAACCCAAAAATGTTACTACAAGGGGCTGAAAAAATCAACCCCTATAATACTTTTCATCAGAACTTTTTAATGCGTCTACATTTTTCCATTTAAAAACTTGATTTAAATAGAGGGATTCAATACGCAACTTTGTTGTCTCTTGATGTTTTCTCTTAAAATTGTTAGTTTGATCACAAAAAAATAAAATAATACACAGATCAAGTGAATTAACTCAGAGATTGGTTATTATTAGTCAAAGAAATGAAGTTATGTCAAATTGATTTCAACATTATTTTATTTTTTGTGATCAAACAATTTGTTAGTTGTAAAATGTCAAGAGATAAGAAAGTTGCAGATTTTTTCTCTCAACTTTAGAGGGCTATAACTTGGAGGAGAAGGGGTTTTGAACAAAAAGTTATATAAAGGACACCCCTTAATTTTTGCTGAAAATCACCCTTGAAATCTTTCACATCAATTTAGAAACAGCCTGTATATATGAATGATTTTCTAACAGCATAGAGACTTTTAAAACCAAGTTTTTAACATTATTTCGCGCCATTTAAGGGTAACACAAACACCAAAGACGTGTTCAAGACTGTTGTAACCACTTATGAGAGGATCCTTTTTATAATAATTCTAAGACTTTGAAGTTTTTTGAAAAAACTAGTGCTTAACAATCAAAATGGGAACAAAACATGTTTAAAAATCTTGTATAACAGCAGTTATCTACACAAAAATACAACTTTTTGTTGTCAACTGTTAACATGTTTATTGCCTGAATGTTGAGTACCACAATATTGCTGAGACACAATATCATGTGTGGACAAAATCTTCATTGTTTGGCGCATAATACGGCAATATACACCACTAATGAAGTCCCCTGATAAAATTTTTCGTATATTTATCATCCTGTAAAGATATTGACTGAGAGGGCACTGAAAATGTTAATAAAATGCTCTTTCGTCTACTGTATAGATAACCGAGACATCCACTTTTGCTTTTACTCTTCAAATTGAAATAAATCATCACAAATATTTGAAATTTCTACTACCATTCTTGAGTAATTCGTGATTATTCGATGGATGTTTAAATGCGGATTTTGCATACTGTATAAATACAAGTTAATATTTATTTATAAAATTGATTGATTTTTTGATAATTAATTGAACCTTTTTTGACGATTTTCCACTCATGTGTTGGTACAAATATTTCCTCATCATCTTCTTTCTTGCTAGTTTCATTTTGAACGCCGGTTATTAGGGCGATAAACAATATTAAAAACGCGACCACTTTAACGTTCATTTTTCACTTTTAGCACGAGTTAAGCTACCGGAAATTGTGATAAAATTAGTTTTTTTAAGGAACACGCATAGAGTATATTAGGTTAGATTCGTGGTGATACATATCTGGTGCTTGATTATTGGACCACGTATTTAAACAGAAATGTCAATGTTTATGTTAAAAATATTACTTTTTTGATGAATAATTATAATTTTGATCAAATTTTAAACATTTTTTTAACAACATTTAAGCCAATTTTTTATGTGCTTATTGTTGTGGTTATGAAGCGTGGTTCATATCGCGAACGGTAGATGTCAGATAAATGTGTAAAAATATATTAAATTTATAATTTCACTCAATATTTTGATTGTACAAATTTGTTAAAGTACTAAAATGCATTAAATATTCCACAAAGAAGGATTTACCTCATTGTTAATTGAATTTTTCGAATTTATTTTAATTTTCCCGCTAAATTATCTTATTTAATTTCGTATTACTTTTTTTTATTTGTATTTTTAGAGTGGTGGAGACGACGCTAACGTACTTTATGTATATATCTTCGATGTGTTTTAGTGATTAATATTGTTTTAAACAATACGATTATAAAAAAGAATAATTTCTTTGTAATTTTAGTAATTTTTTTGTTGTCATTGTTGTCAATGCTTCGTCGAATTGGTTCGAATTCTAGTGTAATTCCCTAAAAAAAAGTGACGCGAGCGCCTTAGGTGGTCGTTTTTCGAAGTTGCGAACTAACGGCTACCGCCATTGCATTCGCCCTCAATCATTCCGTTTAGTTAGCCGGCTTCTCTAGTCACGTGCAGTTTCTTTAGAAATCCACAAACATCCTGTACCAGACATGGCCGATGAATATTTTTATGGTAAGAATTATTATTTATAACCTGTCCGGATCGTTTATCAATATTATTACAACGATTTGTTGCGTAGTTACAGCGGTTTGAGTAATTTTTCGCCAACGGCGCCGGTGTTTTTGCGCGCCATTACAAGAATTCACTCATTGTTTAGTGTTTACCGGTGACTCTTTGCTAAATATCTTTTAAACCGTTTATTACCAGCGTTTAAATCCGTGCAATTTCGATTAACCGCGATGTTGTTTAATCAACGGCTTCGTAATTTATGTGCGGTTTTAGCATTTCACCCGCCAAAATCGCTCTTGTTTACATCGGGGGCTGTATCGTCTCAAAATCCTTTTGTTGTTTGTGTTCCCCCCTTATTCAAACGGTTTCTCAACGGTTTTTACTTTTAATTCGAAACGTATTTCAAACGATTTTTTGAGGTTATCTTTTAAAATACTTTGATAATTTTTTTAATTTCTTTACTAAAAAGAAGTCAATTTTTGATTTTTGTCTTTTTTTTCATCATCATTTAACATAACCTCACTTTTTTTTCTTTTAAGCATTAACATTGGAAGGTGCAAAAGCGAGTGAAGTATGGGATCCTGAAGCAAAAGTTCCTGAGGATTACCAAGGTGGACACAAATTGATCATTAAACAAGCATTATTGGGCCCGGACGCAAAAGAAGGAGAGGTGAACGTGATACAAGTAGAGGCGATGACGTGGAAAGAGTCCATTAAAGTACCAGTTGCGACGTTGAAAGCGGGTGGCCCCAATAACCAAGTGCTCTTAGATCTCTCTTTTCCCGATCCACCAGTTACGTTCAGTCTCATTCAAGGATCTGGACCCGTACACATCATCGGTCATCATTTGATTGGAGGTCCAATTGAAGAATTCGACGAAATGGATGAACTCGAAGAAGATATGCTTGATGAAGAGGAAGGTGAAGAGGGAGTGGTGAGTTGTTTTGAATTAATTTTTTAAAGATAAATAGAGGGGTTGTTGTGGCATGATGTTTTGAATATATTGGGTATTCAAAATTGCACCTTTTCAGGATGGGAAAAGAAAAAGATCGTTGTCCCCAATCGAAGAAGAGAAGGTGCGATTTTGATGATGTTTTTGATGTTAAAATATATTTGTTTTTGTGTTTTAGGAGGAAGATGAGGAAGAAGATGAGGCGCCGAAGAGCAAAAAAGCAAAGACAACCAACAATGCGAAAGGGAAAGGGGCGGCGACGAAGAATAACAAGGGCAAAAAGTAAAGAGACGAGTAAAGGGTGAGAGAAAGAAAGTGAGCGAGGGTGGGTCGTTTAAATTCATCTTAACATATTAAATGTAGTTTAGTTCCACACATTAAGTTAGGACTTGTTCTTTTTTATATACATATAAAATAAAATGACAAAAATGGAAAAAATAATTTAAAAAGAAATAATGAGTTATTAAACATCACCCTTTTTAGGGGTTGACGATTCTTCCGCTTCCTTATAAGAATTAAAAGATATTCCATTTATCAATAATTTCATTGCCCCTAATTTTCTTTTTTATGTTTAGTTTATCCTATCTCAATTAAAGATTAATTTCGTTATAACCATTGTGAACGTTTTTCCACTTGTATTTATTTGCAGTTGTGGTTTTGCTTTGTAAATACCAAAAAAAAACAAATCTCATTAAACGATTCTTTTTGTAGATCTGATTCTTTTAATTTTTTTTTCTCATTTTTTAAATTTGAAATCTTTCAAAGAACTGAAAGAAGAGATTAAAAATGAAAAAATACGTTGTGTTCGTCAGTATTAAAAATTAATTAATTACAAAAAATAAACATTTTTCAAATAATCGAGGCATTGGTTTTATTCCCAAAAAATTATTCCAAAAAACCCGAAAAATACGATTTTGAGATAGATTTTATAATTTCAAAATTACAGTTACCTGTATTTTAAATCGTAGGGATCGCTTGAAGATGGCGCTAATGATGCAAGTAATCAAAAAAATATTTTTAATATAAATAAATATTACTTATTATGTTTATAATAAATAAGTGAATATTGTTATGTATTAAATTTAATAACATTATTTAATTAGTAATAAATTCTAAATATAGTATAAAATATTAAAAATTGGGGAATGTCGTAAAAATTGAACAAATAACGTGTTTACAATTTATCTCAAAGATAAGGCAACCCAAAATTAAACGGTATTTTTTGGTAGACGCGATAAAGATTTATAAAAAAATATTTTTTTAAATAAATTTAATTGTTGAATTGGTAGGAGTACTGTGAAGTTAGCCGCGGATGAAATGTCACATATAAACGCGAGCTGTCATTAAAATAGTTTCAGTTCAGCTGTTGTGGCTGTTAAAGAACTGAAAAGAAAACGTTTTCGCGTGCGTTCTATTAAAAATGTGATAGTAGTTTTTAAGTGCAGTATTAAAAATCGTTAAATTATGTGTTTTTTATCTTTATAGAACGGAAAAAATTAAAACGGTAAAAACTTTATAACCTCTAAAAAATTCTTAACTATTTTATTCTTTTAATCTTAGATAACTAAAATGACTACAATTCTTCATAATTTGGGAAACATAAAAGAAATCTTCGCGAAATTCAGTTTCTTATTTTTCCAACAGCCCATAAAAGGATCTACAGATATAAAACAACAAGACTGGATTTATAGAGGCGAAGGTAACGCGAATTTAGTTATTTCGTTACCTAATCGAAGACAGATATTAAGGATTAAAAAGACTCAAAGAAAATCGCGTACCACCTTAATAGATTGGCTCGTTGAATTAATTACGGATTATTTGAATCAAGATCTTAACGAAGATATAGAAACGGCAACTGAAGAATCACTTGACATTAAATTTTATCGAAATGTTATGACCCCATTGATGGGGTGTTTTGTTTGTGACGCTACTCTTATTATTATTAATAGAAGACAAACGGAAGATCTGAATAAAGCTTTGCAACAATGTAGACCAAGTAAGTAATTTTTTTCCTTTCTTGATAAATACGTTGTTTTAAAATGTTTCGCGGAAAAACCATGCTGATAGGTTTGGGAAATTTTGTGAACACCAGGAAATAATTTTGAGTCATAATTTTCTTAACCGTTTTTATTTTATTTTTAGGTAGAAAATTTTTCCTTTTGAAATAAAAAAAAGGAAAATCCGGAAATAACCTTAAAATAAAATAAAAAAGTTGTCTAGACAGTAGACGACGCATAAGTTTAATTATAGCAACTCAAAACATTTCTTTCCACTTTCATTCGGGATCCCAATTAAAATTGAAACTCGTAAAATACGGGTATATCCTTCAAATTTGCTACAATTTCATGTGTATTTAAGTCCAGACGTTACATTAGACGATGATGACGAATAAAAATAGAACTTCACATGTTCAAAATTAGTTTATTCACGTTTTTTTTTTAATGCAATTAAATCATAAAAATGTGAATATAATTTTTATTTGTGTTTAACCTAAACTGTTAGTCATCGTTTTATTTGGTTATTGCCTATTTTGTAACGTATATGCGGTTAAATTTTCGGTTTCTATATTTATTGCTAAAATTGGATTACTCATCTTTTTATTTTTTATAAAAAAAAAGAAGGAAAACAATTTCACAATAAAATTTCAACTTAATTGAGATAAACCTCTTTACTTTTACACCATTCATAATAAAAGTTGATAATTTCGAACTGAATTTCCGATAACGATACTGCTACTACTACAGCAAAGTGATTAAGATAATAATATAAGCTCAATTGTAATAAATTTCTAGTGTAAAAATAGAAACGGGGTAATTGAGCAACATCGAGCGGTTATAATGGGTCGTTTATAAATCGTATCGAGCATTTCTTATTAATCAAAAGGCGTCTTAAAGAAGATGTGTTCTTATAAACACAAAGATTTTTTTATCGCACATCTTCTTTTTTTCTTAGATTCTTACATTATTTTTAGTTGGGACCAAATTTTCACGGAATTCTAATCGGAAGTGGGTTTTGTTTATTATTTTTGTAGCGTTTTTGTCTTCTTTCGTTATAATTTCTCCTCTCTTTAATTTTGTGTTCCTAAATTTGTTTGGCACAAACTTATTTACTCCTACAGTGTCGAGAACATGTGTTTTCTGACAAAGAAATGCCGCTGCTAGTAAAATTCTTCTGAACTACACAAGACTTCGAAGACGTCGGCCCCCATAATTATTGTTCGGGATATTTGGGGCGGCCAGCTTCAAAGACGTCGGTCGTCATGTGTTCGTGATACTTGAAGCAGACGACGTTTTTGAAGTCTGCCGAGATTAATTTTTATATCAACGGAAAGAATCTCTCTATTAGTATCTCTCGCTATAAGTATTGTTCATGATTCTTGGGGCGGCCGACGTCTTTGAAGTAATTCTGAAGCTAGGTGTATCTGCCATAAAGTAACATACATTCTACACACCATACGTTTAAACCAATAAAGCAAATTTACACCACCTGCACTATTGAAAGATGCTCCCGTAATATTTGTGTTTGTATAAAACAATGTGGTAGAGATGCATAATATTATTATCTTGAAGAATCTTGTGGACAATTGTTTTCGGGATTCCCAATTTTTTTTTCCTCAATGTGTTCTACGAATTTTACAGATGTCTAAATGGGCTGCAAATTGCCATTTTCCCGTAATCGCTTTGCCAATCTTGAAAACACTTCTCGAGAAAAATATTTTCTTTGTGGAAATTGCATTGCATATTTTCGCAACGCAATTGCAGCATTTTTGTAACATTGAAAATAAATCCGTAATATATCATACGCTTCTGCGTTAGTAAATAACATGTTTACAGTTATCATGGCTATGATTTGATTTTTTTTTCTTGATATGGTAATTGGGTCCGATTGAAGGCATTTGAGTTTTTAACATTTTCTTCTATAATTCGAGAACGGATGGAGATGTCGAGATGCGGTTTTCACTAGCATTTAGCAAATTTTATGGTGAATTAAGCTAAGTTTCCACATGCATGGTTTTTTGGCGCCAGTAAGAAGCACAGTAATAAAAATGGCGTTAAGAGATGTACTTCGTCCTCGTTTAAGTTGAGGCCTTGTTGATTTGTACTCATCCTTCAGACCACCTCTTTCTCGGGCGTCCCACTGATCGTCTTCCTCTTCGTTTATACTGGAGTGCCAATTTTAGTATTCTGTCATCTGCATTTTCTACACGTGGCCCATCCATTTCTATTTGGATTCTTTGATTTTATCGTTAACTGCGAAAATTTCCAGTTCCAAGCTATTTCAACCCTTGGTCGCTCTTAGAAACTGCACTTCCGCGGACTCTATCTTGCTTATGTCCTTTTTCCTTGTCATCTATGGTTCGCTGCCATACATCAGGGTGCACACATTCTTGTGTAGATTGTCAATTTGTGTATGCCATTGTTTTTGTCTTAAAGATTTCGCAGTTGTAATATCTACTTATGCTATTGAGCAAGTATACGGCTTTGTGAAGGTTATCTTCTGACGTAGCAACAATTATTTGATCGTCTGCTCTGTTTTCAGGACGTTGTAGTTCGTGTTGGCATCAATGTGGTAATGCAAATGTAATGCAAAGGATTGTAGTTCTTGGTGTAATGTTAGTTCTAGTTTTACACTTGTACTATTACTACACCTAACATTAAAACTAGAAACATTTGGGTTTAGCCTCACGTCTCTTAAGACGGCTAAACCCGAATGTTTCTAGTTCTAAGTCTAATATTAGTTCTAGTTTTACACTAGCACTATCACTAGAACTAACACTATACTTAGAACTAGAATCATTTGGGTTTAGCCGCACGTCTCTAAAGACGGCTAAACCCGAATGATTCTAGTTCTAGTGTTAGTTCTAGTTTTAATTGAATAAAAATATGCAACATACTGATATTTTATAAATAATAACGAAAAACTTTACTTTTAGATCTAAAAGCTTAATTAAATTTCTAAAAAACTTATTTCGTTAAGATCGAATCATTTTTTCTTTATAATCCGCCATTTTGTTCTTATTATTATCGAATTTGATTAATCCAACATCGTATTCGTGATCTACATTAAATTCTCTTTAAAACGAGCCCAAACTCGATGGAGTTATCTTAAAAGATAACAAACTTCTGATTGTCACTTTTTTGAGGTTATGTCAAAATTAAATGTGAGATATCGCGGGTGTTTTTTAAGATAATTGGATCGTGTTTGGACTCGATTTAAGGGATTTTTAATTCTCCATCCGATTATGAATAAGAAAAGAACCTAACCTCACTTTGTAAACGTCAAATTGATATTGTTTGATATTTTTCGCCATCTTGATTAATAATTTTAATTAAATAATAATAAAATTCTTTGTTTCTAGATCTAAAAATACCCGGAGAATTTAATTTCGTTGAAATCGAATCATTTTTCTTAAATCATCTTCCATTTTGTTTTTATTACTATCGAATTTGATTAATCTAACATCGTATTCGTAATCTTAATTAAATTCCCTTTAAAATGAGCCTAAACTCGGTCGAGTTATCTTAAAAAAAAACAACATATACCACCAACTTCCGGTTGTAACTTTTTTGAGGTTATGTCAAAATTAAATGTGGGATATCTCAGGTGTTTTTTAAGATAATTGGGTCGTGTTTGGACTCAAATTAAAGGATTTTTAATTTCCCACGTGATTATATATAAAGATAAAACCTAAGCTCACTTTGTAAACGTCAAATTAATTTTATTCGCTATTATCCGCCATTTTAACGCAACCTTTAGGAAAGTTTCGTTATTTACATCATTTTTCGGTCAAATTTACTACATAAGATAAGCTTTATAACCTCTTCGTCAAAAAAAAATAGTCCAAATATATAACAACATCAAAATATTTGTGCGTAAATCAAATTGAAAACAGATTTTTCCATGGAATTAAAGCGTTTGTGTCTAACTTCACAATCCTCTATTCAAAATCCCAAGCAAATATCGTCCAAGTATTTCGTTATTTTCAATTTTTTTAAGATTATCTTCTTTTTGGATACAATAACAATTTGGATCTTGAGGAAGCACATAAAAAAATTATTCACAAATGATGATCTAACTCAATTAAGAAGATCTAATAAATTTCTTTTTATGTCTTTTTTTATTATCAATGAATTCGAGAAGGTCAAGTTCATGGTTCTCATTCAAAAATATACGGTCACCGATTTCTAAATGAGAAAGTGAAAGTCTTTCGAAACGGCTCTTTCGCCGTTAAAATCTTCTTCGGTTCATTGAGTATTCTTTGCCGTTTTGTCCGTTCAATAAGACGGCAATAAAAGAACGGTTGGAGACACTGAGAAGCTGGGAATCCCGTCACTACCTCGACCAGGTGTTCTTTTTATGCGTGTGTGGGTTTGAAACTTCTTTAACACCTGGACGATGATTCCGTTTATACAAAAAAGCAAATATAAAAAATTATAATAAAGATTATTGGGGTTATATAATAAAAATAGAAATGAACACGTTCTTTATTAATAAATTGAACTGAACCGGAATTATTATATTAACTTGTAATGGAAAGATATTTTAGAAAGGCTTCCCTGTTTCTACTTATTTTTATTTTTATTTACTTTATCCTGTTTGTTAAATGCGGTTATAACGTTATAAACATATTTTCATATAAACATTGGAAAATTACATTATTATTTCGCTTAAATAAACATTAATAAGTATTTAAGTGATTATATTTTAATTTTTGTTGTGATTTACGATGATTATATTAATTTAATTTATAAATATAACCTGTATCAATTATTATCATTACGTCACCGAAATCATACCAAATTCCTGTAGTCGAAAACGTTTTGCTATCTTTTCAAGGTTTTTTTTTTCGGTGAGCAATAAATGGACGAATTGAAAAAAATTCGAGAATTTATTTATCGCTTTTTTTATTTATTTGATAAGTTTCATTCAACGAAACATACAAAACAACGTTAAATTTGAATCATTTTATTAAAAAGAAATCAAGGGGATTTTTCGGTTTATCTAAAATTGTTGGAGAAGAATACGGTTGTAGAGATAAAAATTAATACGTAGAAAATGATATTGAACATGAAAAATCCATAATATAGCAATGTGATTGTTAAAATATGTAAATAATTTTTTTTTGGTTTAGTCATTACACCTGCAATCGACTTTTTTGTTGTAAAAAAATCTCGAGTGTATTATCATAAAAAAACTCCATTCTCTGATAGAGAAGGAGATTGCTTCTCTGTCAATATTTGCGTAACACATCAGGCGCCACGACGTGTTTTTCGCAGGAAACGTCCCCTGGGGGGGCCGCGTGAGAGTTCAACGAAAAAAAAATGAAATAAAATAACAGGATACGAAGGGGGGCAATTATGAAATCGCGATGTTGGTGGCCCCGCCGCGGTTTACTTTAATCTAAAAACATACATTTCATGCTTGCGTCCCGCAATTATATATCTATTCGAAAGTTACGTAATTTTTAATCTCACTCCTCATAAATAGGACAAAAAATTAAAAAACAAAAATTTGTAAAGATATAATTATTTGAATGCGTTATGCAACATTCTTAAAAGTATTCTTAAATGTGATACTAAAATAAATAAAGCGAAATTTCGCTGCAATAACTCATTTTTCTGGGGCGCTTTCTTCGATTAAATCAATTGGTTCGGCCTATTTAATGTTACATCTTCTACCACTCTATTCAATTTATGAAGATCTACTAAAAAATAACTTACTAATCAGATGTTTGGGTAGATTTAAGTTCTTTATGAACCTTAGTATTGTTCACAAGTCTTGTTCCTTTATGTTCGTAGGTATCAGATAAACTCAGTCACACAGAATATGTTCAGCACAGTTTTTGAGTTGTCGTTGCAAAATCGACAAGTTTGATTCTCAGCTTGTCCAATGTTGAAGAGATGATAATTTAAGGTCGTGTGGAGTCAGGAAACCTGAGGGGGCCCTTAATTCCGTTTTGCTGAGAGATGAAACCACTTTTCGCCTGTTTGTGTCTTGGATGATCTTTCCAGCGCAAAGCTATTCTTGAGTCAATCACCTGTTTGAAAACTTTGAAGTGGCTTTTTTATAGTCCACAACCGGATTAGGTTCCAATAAAGGATGTCCTCGCTACCTCTTTAGCCAGCTTGTCCATCTTTTCATTACTCACAATATCTTTGTGACTTGGAACCCATTTTGACTTTTGGCGAGAATGATTATAAAAGCTTTAATTTGACAGTTTAGTGATTAATAACCGCAAAGACAGTAACATTCCAGCTTGAAAATACCTAAATCATCATTTTTCCCTTCCTTTTTATCCCAAACTTTGCACATTTTGCAATGTGCACTTATCACAGCAATATCAAAGATTAAAGAGTAAACAAGATGCGATGCTAGAGTGGAAAACTCTAGTTTTGAAAAGAGATAGAAAACATTCCAATTTAAATGTCCTGACAATAACAAACCTAACCTACAAATGTGACAGTTGGTCTAACCTGTACAAACTGCGATGCTACAGTGAGAAGCTCTAGTTTTGACAAGAGATAGAAGACATTCCAATTTAAATGTGCTGACAATAACAAATCATTTTAATGTAAAAGTCCATAGCGTTCAACTTGGTTATTATCTGCAGGGTCCAATACCTAAAAGAGATACTAATTCCTGTGAATGGTGGAGTACTAAGTAATAGATTTTTAATATCCGTTCCAACACTACTTTATCATTTCCCCTAGATGCCATCACAGCTTTGGTATTGTTCCTCCTCTATTGCGCACTATTTTCTCCTCTCCTTCGTTTTCCATCTATTCCCATTTCTATTAGGTACTCTTCTGGGAATTCTCTCTTCTGGCATTCTGACTATGTGTCCATACCAGCGCAGTTGTTTGTTTTCTATTTCAGTTACCAGCGGTATTTGTTCTGAAATGTATTTTGACCAATTTAAATTGTCAAACAATATAATATGGTAATTTGAGATATTAATAATCTCAAAACTCGTGAGATTTCGCACCTGCGTGATATTTTTACAAATCAGGAAGTTTTGCAGTGTTTATAGCAACCCTGAATATACAAATAAAAAAGGTTTAACCACCAAGGCCGTGTTCCTTTACACCATAACCAAGCTAATTACCCGATTGTATTTTTCCCTTGATTTATTTTTATTATAACAAACTTATATTCTCACCTTGATGGTATCATGTTCATTCAAGTTTGTTACCTGATACTAGAAAAGTTTTTGCGTTTTTGATTCCTTTTAGATTTCCAAATAATATGTTAACATTGAAGTGTGATTTTGACTTATTACTTAGAAATTTAACTGATATTGAATGAAATAGTAAAAATTCAAAAATAAAAAGCTATTAAATATTTAATGTGAGTTAAACATTTTTTGAGTCATCAACCTTTCTTGTCCACGTGCGATGAGATAGTGTTCGTATTCATTTTTCTTTTCAAAGAGTTCACAAACCGGTCTCCGGTAAAAGGGGACCATTGTCTGGAAATTCGATAAGAACTCCTTTCTCAACAAAGTAAAAAAAGGAGTCTCGAATCCCAGACGTTTGATATCTGTTTGTCTCGCCACTGTTACCTGACACCAACATTATCTCGTTACTCTTTAATATTTAAGCCCCACCTCAACAACTCTCGAAACTAACGGCGAACGAAGATTAAATGGTTCGATTGTATTCAAACATTAAATTAACATCTTTCTCTTTCTATTTATTTCTTTCTGATCAATTTAGTCAGCATTTTTTATGTTGTGTCTAATACATGTTTATATTTATGAGAACAATATTATTGTTTTGGATCTTTTTTCAAATTTCGATGAAAATGTTATTACTCAAAAATCGTTAGAAATAAATAAATTTATTCATCAATACAACTTTTTTTCGCATTTTATTGTCTTACAACATTTTCGATTACTTTTTTTCCGATAAATTGGGATGGAAATTTTTTTCAAAGCAGCAAATTTTTGATACATATCCTCTCTGCATTCAACCGCTTGCAATTCGCAAGATCTTTTTCGTCGTTTTAACGCATCAATATCCCGCCATAAGTTACAATGAAGACATTTAATAAAATTTTCGTCCTCGACGTGTTTTGCTCTCATTTTCGTTCTGGTCAATTTCTCATCGATTTTTGCTAAATTCTCGCAAGATTTATCCAGTTTTTGTTGAACCGCAGCTTTAAGCCTTTCCAACGATATCAATTTGCTCTGATTTTTCGTTAATTTCTCGGCGAGTACACACGGAGATTTATTCAATAAACATTTAAATTTATTGTGTTTTTGTGAATAACAATGTTTGTTCACTTTCATTTTCTATTAATATTTTTTTTTAGTCATAACGACGAATTTTAACTATTTTTGACAACTTTTTTGATTAGAACGTTCTTGATTTATTTTGTTTTCGTTTAGATTACAGGAAACACAAGAAATTAAAATTTGGAAAAGCAACATTTTTAACGGATTTTGCCTTCCTGCCCAAACATTTAGACTCTTATGGATTAATTGGGGCTACTTATTCCGTTGAAATTAAACCAAAACAGGGATGGATTGCTAATAGAAATCCTTTGGAAAAATGTAAATTTTGCCAAAATCAGTACTTAAAGGTAAGATAATTTAAAATTGATTAAAAAATTATTAATAATAATTTAATGTATAAATGAAATTCTCCATCTAGCGGAGAAAGTGTAATACAAAAATGTCGATAATACAGGTTTTCATTCATAATATATTTGAGCGAAATTGTGCAACAAAATTAATTAATTGATTAAAATTTTATTAATAACTGTATTTAAATAAACAAAATAAGTTTATTAATTATACTTCATAAACTTATTTTTTTTGATCCTAACTAAATTCATTGCATATAAACATAAACATAACCTCAATATTGACAGTTTTTTAGGTTAAAAATCATCTGTCAAAATTAACTATACTCTATTTTTTAATGTAGAGGAGTAAAATAAAAAGTCACGTTTACACAGTGTAATTTCTCAAAGCTATTTTTTGGCGGGAGTTTTAAAACCAGAGAAGATTTTAAGTAAACTGTAGTCTGTACTTTCTAGTTCTAGATCTAGTGTTAGTTCTAGTTTTACACTAGCACTAGAACTAACACAAGACCTAGAACTAGAATCATTCGGGTTTAGCCGTCTTGAGAGACGTGTGGTTAAACCCAAATGTTTCTAGTTCTCGGTCAAATCTCGAATTTTCCTAGTGTAATTTTTGCTTAAAACTGACCAATAACAACCCTTCTTTTTGGCGCTTCAATTTGAAAACACTTCTCTGTATTAAAAAATAGAGTATAAAAATTATTGTCAATTTTTATTAAATTATTTAATTAATACTATATTTCTTTGTAGTTGTCTCAAGGACAAATAAAAAAAATAAGTAATTACTGCCCATTAGATTTATTTTCGGGTGAAAAACATCGAATGATAAAATCAATTAAATCTCTAATAACCGATCCGCAAAATAATTTTAAAATATTTCGAAATGGAGTACAAGTTTACGGTGAACAAAGTAACGAAGATAATTTAATAGATCTCTTAAAAGATTGGCTCCATCATAACAAAGAGTCGTCGTCAAATTATAATTTAATGGAGGAATTCCTCGAAATAATTTATAAAACATTAATAAAAAGTATTGATATAAAACGTTCATCGTGTATTTTTAACTCGAATCGAAAAGAAATGGATCCAAATTGTGGCGATCTTCCGGAAGGTTGTATTTTAGAAAGAATATTACGTGTACAAAAATTAGATTCGATGGGAATTAGTTATTATAAAGAATTGAAAGATCGTATGAAATTGGGGAATAAAAGCAATTATGTTAAAACGTTATTAAATGAAATTGAAAGGAAGAAAGATTTTTTGTGTGTTAATGAAGAAGAAAACGGTAAAGATTTTAACGAATTAGAGTTAACTCCGTATTTAATTGCGTCTGTAGCGAATGATTGTTCGTTTATGTTGACTTATCGAAAAATGATTGATTTAAAGTAAGTAATTTAAATAAAATTATTTTGATAAAATAATGATTGATTTTTTTTATAGAACATCTGTAACGTTAGATCAAAGATATATTTTGGAATCGTCAAACGGATCTTATGCGGTAAATGTAGGTGTTTTCGATTTATATCCAAAGCCGATTTCAACCATTGATAAACATTTTAAACGAATGGAAGAGTTATCCAAGTTATCTTCACAAATAGGAATGTAAAAACAATATTTTTCGTTTTAAATAACTAGTACAAATTTACAAATTAATTATTATTATTAAAAAGAAGTTACATTATACGCAATTAATTAATTTATTTGATGTAAAAAGCCATAAATTACTGTGCTATATTTTTAAAACCTTTGTATTATTGTGATTTTTATCGTGTCATTTTTTTAAATAATTAATTCGCCCCAATTATATTATTATTATCTCTGACATGACACCACGATTTTTTTTTTATTTTTAACTTATTGCCTATATCGTGTTTTTTATGTCTTAATTTTTTATCTTGAACGTAATGATTTTGTAAAAATAATTATTTAGGATATTTATTTAAAAAAAAAATTTATATTTTTTTTTGTGTATGAAAATATTTAAATAAAATGAATGAAAGATATATTAGCTTTTTTTTTATTAAATTTAAAGTTAATCTCTTTGATTTTTGAATGGTAAAAGTTTAGCGCCATCTTTTAGTAATAAAACTAAATTGAAAATATTTTTGAATTAGGAAAATGTAACCTTTGTTTATAGATATACATATATATCTATAAACCAGGTGTCTATAAAGAAGGTTGTATATAAACAAGAATATAAGCTTTTTTGTTAAATTTGATGATTAACCTCGTTTTGATTTATAAAATGACTTAAAAATGACAAGAGTTTAGCGCCATCTTTTAGTAATAAAACTAAATCGATAATATTTTTGAGATAAGTAAATATAACCTTTGTTTATATACATATATATTTAAAAACAAGCATATTTATAAATAAGGTTATATATAAACAAGAATATAAGCTTTTTGTTAAATTTAAAAATTAACCTCGCTTTGATTTATAAACTGGTTTAAAAATGGTGAGAGTTTAGCGCCATCTTTTGGTAATAAAACTAAATGGAAAATAGTTTTGGGTTAAGATAATATAATATTCTTTGTTTATAGATATACATATATATTTATAAGCAAGCATGTTTATAAAGAAGGTTATATATAAACAAGAATATAAGCATTTTTGTTAAATTTAAAAATTAACCTCTCTTTGATTTATAAAATGGTTTAAAAATAGTAAGAGTTTAGCGCCATCTTTTAGTAATAACACTAAATCGGAAATATTTTTGGTTTAAGAAAATCTAACCTTTATTCATAGATATACATATTTATCTAGGATATCAATAAACAAAGATATATATAAACAAAAATACAAGCTTTTATGTTAAATTTAAAGATTAACCGCGCTTTGATTTATAAATCAGTAAGAGTTTAGCGCCATCTTTTAGTAATAAAACTAAATAATAAATATTTTTAGGTTATGAAAATATAACCTTAAAATGTCTCAAGAAAACTTTAAGAAATCAATAGAAAATATTAAGAAACAATTCTTTTGTTGTGTTGTAATAAAAAATTTAAACATTGAGGTAAGTTATTAAAAAGTTTTAACCAAAAATTGTGTTTTTTAATGTTATAGAGTATCGAAAATTTATCATCATGGGATAATCAAAATACATTAATTGAAGAAACGGTAAATAGTCAACAAATTTTAAAGTATCCTATAAAAATATCTTATCAAACGGCGTTTATAAAACATATAATTGAGGTGTTAATAAAGCAGAACGCTGAGATAAACGATGTTGTTTATGACGCTCTCGGCCGCTTGATGGCGCTAATTGATTCAAAAATAAACTTTAAACATTATCTTTTTGACGAGGAGAGGATTATTTTAATGGAAAACTCTAGCATTATTTCCGAAGGAACCACTGGTTTATGTACGTGGCAGGTAAAAATTAAAAAGAATTAATTAACCACAAAATTCAACAAATTTGTTTCAGGCTTCGTTAATCCTTTCCGAGTGGTCATTAGAAAATAAAGATATTTTCATGAACAAACGCGTTTTAGAATTAGGATCTGGAATTGGTTTAACGGGAATAGTTATTACGAAATATTGTAGCCCAAAAAAATACATTTTTACGGATTGTCACGATTCCGTGTTAAAAAATTTAAAAGAAAACATTAATTTAAATCTAAATTCTTCAAATAAAGTTAATGAAGTAAGAAAAGTTTCTTGGGAAACTGTTAATTCGGACACAAAAGAAATTTATGAATGCGATGTAACCGTAGCCGCGGACGTTGTTTATGATTCAAAATTATTTTTACCGTTACAAAACACTTTTAAGTTTTTATTAAGACGTGGAACTTGCTCGGCGATATTTCTATCATGTACTGAGCGAAATGAAGACACTTTAAATGAATTTTTAAATTTATTGTTGGTGGATAATTTCGAAATTGAAAATTTAAAGGTGCCTTCTCCGAAATATTTTGATTGGGATTGTAATTTAATTGTTAAAATGTTTAAAATTACACACAAAAATAGGTTATAAGTTGTACTTACCAATACATCTTGGAGGAAAACCCATCTTTAATTCCAGGATTTTCTGAAACAAGATAAAGGTTTAACGTTATGATACTTTTAACACTAGGATGTTATTGAATAATAAAAAGTGTCTTTTATAAATAACTTTGTTATTACATAACATTCTTAAAACATTTAAGGTGATGTAATCCCAAAGAATACATTAAAAATAATAAATTCTAGTCACATCTTGAACCTAATAAACACGGTAAATGTCTTTAATTAATTAACCCATCTTGTTAACTCGTTTCGTTGTTGAAATTAGTGAAATTTAAACAATTAAGAGATCATTTAAAAAATTTTTAGAATCTACTAGAAGAATTTTACCATCATCTCTTGAAAGATAGGCATCTTCTTAGAGACCGGTTCTTTGAAACGAGAAGAAGATGAAAACGTTGCGCGGAGAAGAGGGTGATATTTAGGATGCACTTTATTAGAGAGGCCGTGGGGGCATCCATCGTGAGATGCAGGTTGGGCTGTCAGACGAAAAATTAAAGACGACAACAAAGAGAGCCGACCGAGACTCGGAGAGTACACTTCTTAAGTCAATATATTACAACCCGCGCATCTCTTAAAATGTTTGAATGTTCTGTTCGATGGTTCAAACGAGTTCAAATGGAAAAAAGTTGAATAAATAATTTTACTGGTTTAATCTAACCAGGAAAGTTTCGTTTTGTAATTTTATTTATAACGTTAAATTTAAGTTAAATGCAGTTTAGAAGCAAAACGGTTGCACTCTATTTTGCATATTGTATCGATGTAATTACGTAACGGTTTTCTAGATTTCGAACGGATCGTTTTAAACACCGCAGGATAACATCCGGTTTTATTGGTTGTTACGAGTTGTGAAAACTGGGTTGATGCAGAATATCTTTTTCAAATACAAGATTACAAATTGTTTGTAGATCCTATTCTATGCATAGGAGGAATATTTAATGTGTTAGTTTCATCATCATAAAAATTTGAATTTGGACATCAAAATAAAAGTTTTCACTTAAATTTCGAGAAACGTGAGAAATCTGTGGATGTTGAGGTCACAGGAAACAAGGTCTTCAACTTTAAAAGTAAATTTAATTGTGGAGGTCAGAATGTGAAGACGCCTGGACAACGCTATAAAAGAGATAACAAGCAGGTCGACGATGAGTTTTCAGATCGTTTTTATTTTTCAAAGCGACCAGATAACGACCGAGTCTCGTTTTAAAAAGACGAAAAGCGTTTTAATTGAACGTCGAAGAATGAATGAAACGCTCCAATTGCTCATAACATTGTTGTAGTTTTATATATTTTAAATGAAACCTTTTTCCTTTGTACGTAGTAACCTTAAATTTACTTTATACATTGTCCCGGTGTGCAATTTTATATGGTAATACAACCTGGAATTGTCACGGTCCCATTCTCTTGAGATCGCCTTGCCAAGAAGAGATCGTGTTTTATTTAAATCTACGTTGTAATAACAACGGCTATAAAAACATTAAAATAAAATTTCATTCGATTAATAATATTCTTTTTAATTTACATTCAACATACTAGATATTCTTTTGGATAAATGAAGGTTTTTCAATTTAAAACGTAAATGGCCGGTTATCGCATTTCCGGTCGAACAGGAAATGGGATCGGCTCCAACACCGTACGTTTACGTGTAGTTATACTGTTCAAGGACCGTGTACCTTTTTAGTTATTTCCTGTTTTAACAATAATTAAACAATTTTTGATTCAAACTTATATAAAAAAAATTTGTAACAATTTTAATGACACATTGAAAAAGTAAGAAAATTACTTTTAAATTTCGTTGCGGTAAGGATGATGAAACCGAAGAAAAGGAGAAGATTATCACAGAGAAAAAGAAGGATGACGAAAAAAAGGGAGGTTATTCGACCACCCGCCGTTACTTACCGCGTGTGATCTTTAAAGAATCCCTCGGGGCCAAAATACCTTTTGGAACAACCGCTTATTTTACCTTTTCTCATTTTTTACCAACCACATAAAATTCTCTTTTAATATTAAATAGCCGTCTTTAGAGACGTACGGCTAAACCTAATGAATTTTTCTAGATATCTAGGACCTAAATCTAGAAATATTCAGCAGTTTCTCTCATCAAAAATCTTATGAATGGAGCTGCTACATCACCAACAAAGAAATTTGAGTAACTTTTCTGCTAACGAATATAAACAATATGGATTGATCTAGTTCTTTCAATTTTATTAGTGAAACTTTTAAAATCAATGGGCAGAAAAATTTAAACTTGGGCCATCTATTGAAGACTTTGTCTAATTCCTTTTGGAATGGTACTCTGACTTCAACTAGCCCCTCAACTAAATGAGAAAATTATACTGTACTAAAACTTAATTAATTAATTATCTGTGAAGTAAAAGCAGAAGAAATTCGACAAGACATAGCGAGAGTGCTTAAAATAGCGAAACCACCAAAATGATATCGGGAAACTTTACTAGGATGTAGTACTTACCAAAATAACACAAATTTTTTATATAAACATAGGGTCGCAACTCTTTTGTTTTCGAGCCATGAGCTGTATAATTACAATCCCATGGTTTCTACTTCCTTTTTGCAAGTTCAAGTTAAAATAATGAATACAAAGTTTTATTTTTTCAACAAAATTTCACTAAATATTGTGCACAATCATAGAATGGTATAAGATGAATGTAACGTGCAAAAAAATTGTGTGATGGATATGACGAAAAGAAAATTTCTTCTGATGGATATGACGAATATATACGCTAACTGCTAAAATACGTGGCCACTAGGAGAGCCACTACCTGCAGCCTATCAAGCCGCTTAACGGGTTAAAGACAAACAAACCCCATTAAAGGGAGAGGGAGTCTACCGGCTATCGTGCAGTTGTGGGAAGGATTACGTTGGCCAAACTGGACATAACATCGAATTAGGCAATGCCAGAAAGGAGGACACCATAGAGTTCGAGAAAACCAAAGTATTAGCTAGAACCGGACATAATTTCCAAAAAATGGCGAGAGAAGCGGTAGAGATTCATGGGTATGGGAATAACATGATATGATAAAGAAAACGGCTGGGAACTCAGCTGCACATGGATTGATGTGGAAGACAAAAACAACTTAACTGACAATTAGATATTAATTATAATTATATAATGCCTTCAAAAAACGTACCATGAAAGCCTTCGTTCTTATATTAATTGATTAATATCAGATATTTGTAGAGGTAAAAATTGTATAAATACCCATGTTGTTGTTTATTTGTTGAGATTTATTTTAATAATGGATAATCAATCATTCAAGAAACGATCGTTTTAAATGGATCCGTTATAAGCCTCGCGGTCACATATGGACGCGAAAGCGAACACAATGGACAAGGGACCGATATATTATAACGGGAGAGGTATAGAGGGGAAGGAAAATATCGATGGAACGGGCACAAAAAAACAACGATATACTGTTAATCATTCGGTTCAACTACCTTAACAATAGGTGAGACCGTGTGCTGTATTTGCAAAATAGTACGAGATTGTTCAAAAAACAATAGGAATAATAGAAGCGTTTAAAATTTAAGAAAAGTTTACGAAAAAAGAATTATAACCCATAAATCACGTTATTAATTGTCAATAACACGCATACAGCAAGCTTTCTAATAAAGCTTTCCCTCGTCGCGACAAAAATGTCATTCATGTTCGTGCTTAGAAAATGATTTACCTAGAACTAGATCAGTGGAACGAAGCAGCGATAATTTTAGCAGAGTTGATTTTTTCTTATCACATTTTATTTTGTATAAGAAAATTACATTTCATAAAAAAAAAACAAATATTGATTTGAATCGTGTCTGAACTAATTTTAAAAATCTTTTTTTTTTGTTACTTATGTTTATTGAAGCGAGAATTTTGTCCTGAGAGATTAAAACGTGACCAAGCGGAAATTATTTTCATGAATAATTCTTTAGTACCATTTAAAAAAAAGTATTTCTGGTTGAAGCAACCCAGTTATCGCGTTTAATTGTGTATAGAAAGATACTTTATGTGGTTTCCAGAGAGGTCATCGTGTCTACGTGACACCTTCCTTTAGAACTGGACCTCACCCATAGACTGTTAATGATCACAACCAAGCAGCTTTCGTTTGTGTAAGTACGACGGCAACCGTGAAGTCGTAAAATCTTTAAACGTACTACGCGTTCCACTAACCCAATAGTAATTTTTGCCGATTTCGGTTCAAAGATGAAATTATTTCAACTTTAAAAAATGTTTTCATGGTAACGTTTGTGTCATGCAATTCCCACAAGAAGTTTAGTGTCACTGAGAACGGAAACTGAGAGTACATACTAGAAAATGTGCGCGACTCGCATTTAACGCAACTCAAGGTTATTAATAATTCCCCAGGTTGTGTGGGAACCCACTTCGTGTCACCCTTATTAAACACACTCTCACAACATACACACACAAAACGTACGCTTTTCTTTATCTCTTCCTTTTTTCCTTCTTGTAAACTTGTATTTTTTTTGTACGTCTTTTCTAGTTTGTAAAACGAGTACAGATCCTTTGCGTGACAAGAACATTACACAGAAAACGATTGGTAATCAGTTCTAAGTAACACAATTTTAGCTCCAACTGAAAAATTAAAGTTATTATTAAAAAAACCAAATCAATAGTTTTTCAAACTGGCTCACAATGGTCTTTAGCAGTTCTCAAAGCAGCCAATCTGATGATTTAACAATTCTGGTTAGGAAAATGTACCAAAGACTATGGTGATAGTCTTTGGCAGGTAACAACCACATAATATAGTTTGGACACAACCTCTTTTTGCTAATCTGAAGAAGATGGGGATGATTCTATTATATGATAACTAACTTCAGGTTTAAAATGTCAACCTCGATTTTGACATATTTGTATTCTTTATTAAAAATCCTTTAAAATGAGTACAAACACGACATATTTATCAACATCAAATTCAACTACAAAGTATTCCAACTCGAAAGCAGGTCAATTAAAAATTAACCCAAATCTAAACTAAATAAATCCAACCCTAAACTCATCTCTAAAGCAAACCAACCTAATTTCAAAGCAACTTAAACACAAAGTAACTGAACGCCAAAGCAAACTAACCACACAATTTCTCACCTTAAAAGCAAAACAATGCAACTCAACCACAAAACCACCTAACCTCGAAGCAACTAAGCTACAAAGTAACCCAACTTTAAAGCAAAATAACCCAATTCTAACGCAA